CATGTTTTTTAAGTCTGCTGAATTTGGATCGACATGATTAGCTGTACAGTTTTAGTCCTCTTTCAGACCTGCACATCTTTGGAGATTAATCTTAGAACTAAATTGCATAAAAGACTACAATACCATACAATGCTAAGCTTTTTAAAAAAAATTATTTTCTATCGGGCCCACTGGAAAGCATGCTTCATAAGCACACAAAGTCTGATCCTATGGGTTTTCCTCAGTTTCCTGGGTGACTCTGTCCATATATGGGAAAAAAGGCAGAAGAAATATGATTATAGAAGATAACCTTAACACCATCTACAACAGCATTTACCTTCAGCCTGTCTCCTCTATCTAACAGGCTTATCCTAGGGCAGGGAAGAAGGCCTAAGTAAAAGGCTGAAGTGTGATCGAGTTGGGGGGGTGGGGAGGGAGGGAGGGGGAAGCAAATTTTTTTTAAAGCTACAGACTGAATGTTACATATTTATTCTTTAAATTAAATTTTTATTTCAAAAATTACTATTTATTTTTCTTTCCCTTCCACCTCCTCCCATCCCCATCTTGAAAGAAAAAGATGAACAAAAAAACCTTTCTAACAAATATGCATAGTAAAGCAAAATAAATTCCCACATTGGCCATATTCAAAAATACATAAATCATTATGTATATTAAGTCTATCACTTCCTTGTCAGGCACGAAACTACAATTTTAAAAATTAAACCTGGACTCGGCCATGAAATCTAGGGACCTGGGAGGGAGGAAGCAAAGATGATGGTGGCTACCACCTGTGGGGGACCAATGCTTAGCTGGAGCATCTTCACATATACTCTTGTTGGTAGAAGGAATAGGTGTTGCTGCTGCTGAGGCTGGGAGAAGAGGAGTACTTTTCTCCCAGCAAGTTACCTTTGCATCAAAAATCTTCACAACCTTCAGTGGACCCTTGCTGACCTTCATTGAGGTAGAATGTGAAGCTGGGAACTAACAGTGTGGTGCTATGTGGCACCTTACACTCACTATCTTGTTTGGTCCTCACAACTCCATGAGTTGGGTGAGGTATATATTATCATCCTCATTTTACAGGTGAAGAACCTGAAGTCCAGGGAGGTTAGAGAATCTTGAGCCAAGCTCAAGATCATATAAGAAATTAAGTGGTAGAAAGCAGGTTTCTTAACTTCTACATTCTTTTCATTAGATCACTCTTCTTATGTAACTATTAGCTGAAATCTTATGATCTGATCTGATGTCCAGCCCAAGCTGTATTCTCATCTGGACAAAAAATGTACAGGCACAGACCTTGTAAGTAATCATTCCCAACTGCCCAACCTGAAGCACATCCAACCCTCTGATAAGATGAAGATACTTTTTATTTCTTCTCAGACCACTCCCCTTGGCTACCAACATATTATACATGGCCACAGAGCCACTATCCCTGCCTTGGGAAAGAGTAGGCTTGGACTAATGCATAAACCAAACCTAACTTTGCCTAACCACTTTGGATGAAAAGACTCCTCATTAGGGTGTGGAAAAATGCCACAGTTAAGAATGGCCTTATTTAATGCAAAGTTGAGTCAGGGCAACGAGTTAAGGATACCATAAGTTGCCACTGCTAAACTGATTAAAGGAATCTGGGAAAAAATGACAAGATAAAGTAGACTTGGTTCATGAGACCACTTACACTACTTTACTGTGCTGGATACTTTTACTGTAAAGGATGTCTCATTCTATTTCAAAGTCTGCAAAGGTCTTTAATTAAAATAGAGGTAAGGGCTAGCCTATAAGCTACTCATCTATAGGCTGGAAAGACATTGTGATGAGTGGGCTGAATCCTGCCTCCAACTCTTACTAACTATGTGACCGTGGGCAAGTGACTTGAAATTTCTATGCCTGTTTCTTCATCTGTAAAATGTGGATAATAATATTGTAGTATCTCTCATAGGGTTATTGTGATGGTCAAATGAGACAATGTATGTATAAACCTTCTATAAAACTTAAAACACAATATATAAATATTAACTATTACTATCACTGCTATTATCTATTCATTCATAGTTCTTTGGATTCCACATTTCAAAGGGATATTTTTTATACCCAAACTCTATGTAGTATTGATGAAATATTTAAGAACTCAAATACTACCTTGAAAATATCAGGATAGCAAAAAACGGTAGTGGCATTAAAATTAAGCTTTGAGTTCTGGAATGAACCCAAGGCTTCAGGACATTTTTGAAAGGTGTAAGGATGGAAGGGAGTATTCTGAATCTAAAGAGATTTTTCCCTTGGGTCACTCAATAGTCACTTTAAGATCAGGGATTTTCTCTGTATTCCTGGGTCTATTATTATGAAAGGATTTCCCCCTCTCCCCACTAGCCCCAGATGGGTCTAAATTTAAACCAGCAGGATTTTGGGTAGACTCTTTTGACAGGTCAGGTAAGAGAGCTGTCTTTCTAAAGGCTATTTCCACCTGATCATATATAGGGAACTTCATACAGGAAGGGTACAGAAGATTGAGTCAGTGTATGTGATAAGGCAGAGCCACTGAATAAGGTCAGGAGTCAAGGAATCAGTCGATACATGGAGTAGGCAGTCCCAATAGGAGTCAGGACTTCGGTTCTATCATTGCCAGTGACTAGATTATTTGCAGGCTCAGGGATCTGTAAGCTCTTAGTTCTTATACACAAATAACCCTTTGCCCACAAAGCCATTCTGCTAATCCTCAATATCAGACATCATACAATTGTGGGGTTTGGAGTAAGGAGAGAACTGGATTCGAATACTGCCTAACTTTACTAGCTGTGTGACCATAGGCGCAAGTCACTTAACTTCTTTGGGCCTCAGTTTCCTCATCTGAAAATGAGTCTTACAATACCTGTTGTATTCGTTGTGTTGGCTAAGTATGTTTAATTACTACATTTTCAAAGCAAGTACTAGGCAGCTTTCATTGCATAGTCTAGCCTTAGAAATAAGCATAAATACTATACTCTGGCTACTTTTTTTTTTTTTGGCCTGAGTAGAAGAGGGCAAAGAAGTGCCACTTTCCCTCTACCTCTAGCCTATACACACTATACTACAAGGCTGTGAAATTAGTAAAATTCAAATTGTCAACTCAAAGCACAGCATAAATTTATTGCTGGTTTAGAGCAAGGCGACAAAGTTTTGTTTGTAACTTTAGCTCTGGGAAATAGACCTGATGATGTCAAAGGTTGTTTCTAATAAAATCTCTATTTGGTGACAACACTCAATCAGGAGTCAAGGAAAACTGCTTCTCGCTACTCTGGCATAAAGGTCAGTGCTAACTAGGGAGCTCAGTGTATTCGAATTTTCCAACTTCCACTTGACCGATCAAGTAAATGTGTATTTAGACATTAAGAAAAAATGCCCAGTAGGTGCCCAATAGACCAGAATCGCTATCATGTATGCATTGTCAGAGTACAGGGCCTTTTTCAAAGTTGTGTCTTAGCTTTTAACTCTTCATGTCTCATAAGCTATCAGCCATTGAGATTTCTTGGAGTCATCACTCATTGTCTATTTTAAAATAAACATGGGCATGCCAAGCATATGGTAATGGCTTCATCTTTCGTCATCTTCGGAACACGGACCATAGATTTTGTGGCAGCCTTGCGTTCTTTTTCAGTTTTGAGAGCTGGAATAAAATGCCCTAAATAAATGATTTAAAATTTACTTGCTGATCCAGCGGTGTGGCTAAAAATTTAATCCAGATTCATAATCTATATTATGCATATTATACATTACATATGCTTATGTTAAAAGTATGAAAACTGGTACACTAAAATTTCATTCAAAACTAGTGTTAGCATGCATATCAGGCTAGTAACGTCTGGATATTTACTCTAAGGAAGAAGTCATGTTTACACAAAGGAGTGGGCCAACATGAAAAAGATGGCTACAATACTGCAATACAACCTGCTAACAACCTGGATGGTTTCTCCCAGCCATCAGACAGTTTGAGCTTCAAAAAGGACAGGAAACAAGAGGTTTCCCACATGGGTGCCTAGAGAATTTGTTTAAAACAGCTTATAAAGATGGTAAAGAGAATGAGTTCCATCCTATTATTCAATAACCACGGTTGTGATGCATCTGCATAATCTAACCATGCATAAATTAGTATGTGTAATACAACAGTTATTTGCATAATAATAGCAAGTTAATAGATGCTTAAAGAGCAGAGACCAACACCACCTTTAAATCAGACATGCCTCCAGGCACTCTGGCCTGTACAGACCAAGATGCCAGAAAAACAGTGAGTGTAAACCAGAAGAAAACATTCAAATTATTCATTCAATACCCACCCACCCACCCCTTCACCCCTTGGGTATTTCACTTAATTTTTTCCTCCTACAATGGGGAATTGTTTTCAAACTACGATGTGGCTTATATTTTTAGTTTTGGCTTACCTTTGGAATAAATATCTTGAAGCAATGTTTAGAACTTAGTTATTAATGTTAGTGTATTGAAAAATCTATGTTCTGAAAAGGGGAAATGAAGGCGTGGGGAGCAGAGAACAGGGAACAGGGCATGAAGAAGTGCAAAATCAAACTCCCTCATAAAATCTGGTGCCAATCACATTGAATCTGACTACCAAAACACTGAAACAATGACCTAAGCCAGATTTTTTCCCTCTTAATTTTTCAATTCAAACCATTTCATCAAAATTTCAAAGAAAATATCAGGGAAAGGGGGCTCTTCTTCCTCAATGCACAATACAAGCATGTAGTGCAGGAACTGGGGCTCAGGAAAAAAACCAAAAAACCAATGCCAAAGTCTCACAGAGAAGCAGTGTGATTATTGCTTCCATCCTTCTCAGAAAAATCAAAAATCTGTGGCAAAAAAAAAAATCAAAAATCAATAGAGACTTCTAAATGACTCCTTTAAGATATCGCTTTTCAATTTAACAGGACAGATTTATTTGTATGTGGCTCAAATGTTCACAATTGCTCCCTGCACCTTCATACATAGGAATGAATGTCACAGTGGCGAACGGCAGTAATGAACAATCTTACCTGAGGATATGGAAACCTCCCAAGAGCAAGCTGGGAAAGGAAATAATATTTGTCTAGTTATAGATTTGCATGCAGGGTAGATTTCCTTAAGACAGACAAGTACTAAATTTCACAATTGTATTCAGCAGAATAAACCATACTTCCTCCCCTACCATGTTAAAACACTCGACCTAAAAATAATCCTGTAATCCCATTAAAAACTGTGTTTAGAATGGACAATTAAATGGATAGTGTTGTTTCCTTGAAATGTCTTCCTTCTAACCTCTTAAAGTTTCCTTCAAAATTTTTCTCTCTGCAATAATATCAATTACACAAACATCATTTAGACTTACATATGTATATACTGATATTTAAAAGTAATAACAATACAGAATACTTACCAGACAGTTTCTTAGTAAGTAGGCACTTGACTTTAATATAGTGATTTACATATGTTATCCAATTTTATCTTCATGAAGGCCCTGTGAGGTCGGTGTTACTAACACTCCTACTTTATAAATGAGGAAATTAAGGCTCTAAAGAGTTATGCGACTTGCCCAGAATCACACTGGTAGTGTCTGAGGCTGTATTTGAACCCAGGTCTGCCTGATTTTAAGTCCAACATTCCTACCACTGTGCCTTTAATATAATGAATATATTACTACAGAAATAACTGTCAAATTAGGTAACCTCTTATAGTCTTGGGTTTCCATCTATAAAATGGGAATAATTATTCCTAGTCAAGTACTTATTAAATATTTCATGACCTTGGAATGTACAACATCATGGAATTACAAGAATATTGTAATGATACTGCCATCTGACCTCTTTTCAGTGATTTTTCAGTCATTTAGCTGTTGATGTTGAAAAAATACCACATTTCAAGATTGTGAAGCTGGTACAAGAAAGAAAAGAGATTGACCTAGAAGCTGAGATCAGGGGTCTAGTAACTATTTATTGCTCTAACTGTAATCTATTATTTGTAAACTGTTTAATCTTGGTCTCCTGCTCATCAGCAAAGGAGTAATTTACCCAAAAAAAGGAAGTGTGACTACAAAGCCACGCTTTTTTTTTTGAAAGCAAGTATACCAGAACTTTCACATTTAAATAAGTCACATGCCTTAGTCACCTTGAAAAGTCATACAATATATGTCACTGCATAAAACATTTTGCAACTCCACTAGTGGAACTGCTTTCAGTCACAAAAACTGGTCTCATTACTTTTATGGCCATGCCCCATTCTGGACCAGTAACACTATTTCCCAGCTTGATCTCAGCCTCCTACCTTAGCCACCTAGCACCAGATTTAGCTTTGAATTTTAACTTCTTTGAGGGCAAGAACTATCTCTTATTTACCTTTTTATCTTTTCCAGTGTCTAGAATACGCTGTGCATTAATTACAATAGAATATAAGCCTTTTGATGGCAGAAAGTACTTTCATTTTGTCATTGTTATCAGCCTAGCAAATAGAAGGTACTTAATAAATGCTTGTTGGATTGCACATTAATAAATGATTACTGTTGAATGAGTCAATAAATTACTTAGTAGTTGCCAAACATTCTATCTAGCCCTAAGGGTTTGAGATTTACCAATGCTGAAGATATGTTTAAAAAATACATCACGTAGTTTGAACAAAGGCAGCAGAGTTAGAATAAGTCTACAGATTCCTAACCTGACCACTTTGAAGAGAAAATGTTCATTTAGGTGTGTGTTTGTTGTGTTTGTTGAATAAGCAATGTCATTACTTTATAGTCATACCTTATCTACCAAGATCTATTAATGCTCAATATTTCATGGGTTCACAAAGTTAATTAACATTTTTTTTGTTCAGTACTTTGCCCCCTTCCCAACATAAATAGAAAAGATACAATAAATGGGTACATTAGCAAATAATGTTTTTTCTTAGCTTGCTTGTTGCATGTTGACAAAATATCAAAGTGTGAAGGATGCTACTCTGTTCCCACATATTATGTTGAATGTTCACCCCAATATTTTGTAAATGGGAGCTTGCATGGCGACTCAGGAGGAATCATTATGGGATGTCATGTCAATAACATATTGATTAAAGGTGCTTACCATTCTATATAGACATGACAGACGGTGATGGCTCACTAAAAGCTGCTGCCTAGCATTATACTGATCTCTAGATTATGTATTTTGCATGTACTCTTTTCATAGAGTTAGAAATGACCAAAAAAATTTATTTCACCTAAAAAGATAAGAAACAGAAGAATGTTGAATTTTATCTGGCTGGCTAGCAGGTATTAGAACTTTGCTCACAGCACAGCCTGGGCTAAAAATGTCTCAATTCAGAGAACATCCTCTTGAAAGTGGACCCTGAATAGGCAGAGTATACTGATCCTTGGATTTTGAAAGTTAAAAGAAAAAAAAAAGAGACATGGAATGTTTAAAAAAGAAAAAGACGGAAGAAGTCCATTCTCATGTGTCAAAAAACAAAACAAAACAAAAAACCCCAAAGCCCAACCCTCCATATTTCTAACCATCATGTGTCTTCTCCTCTTGAAAAAATTAACTATAAGTAGACTTGGAAATAAGCATTTGCTTTTTTTGGCTAGTGTCAGTCAAAAGTGGCATCACTTTATGCTTACCCAGTTCCTACAGGCATGAAAACTGGCTAATGAAAATTCAGGGTGGGCTGGTCAATTTGGGAGTCTTTCCTTATTACAAGTCCAGACTGGGTGTTTGGGGACAGGTGGTAGAGGTTGAACTTATGAACTCATCACTTTGTGACTAGCCATGCTTTCTTTTTCTTGTACATTTCCCTGACATCCTACTGAACCTCATCCCTCTTTGACAACTAGTCTCCTAGGAGGATCCCTTTCAAGCACACTGCCTTGGCACTGGAGGACAGGAGAACAGCTCCTTGTCCATGACCAGTATAGGCCGTAAAAGGAGCATAATTCTTCCCCCTCCGTTACTTGTCACTATCAGACATCTTTCCAGGAAGTAATGCTCCTAACTTGTGGAAATAGGCAGTGGCACTATTGGGCTGGCATTAAAAACTGATTCCTAGACACAAGGAGAAAGGGGGTCTTAACTCTCCATTTTCCTGTGGTCCTAGGCCTAATGCAGCTGCAATATTTACACTTCACAATATTTGTCTAGTGGCAAAGCAGAAGGAAAATAATGATAGGCAGTACCACAATGGTAGACCAAGCCAGCCCTTTATCAAACTCTTTTTTCAAGACAGTAAATAAGGGAAAGGACTCTGAGAAGATACTAGCGCATGAACAACAAGTTCTTTATAGGGCTGTCAAAAGTTTTTGTTTTTTTTTTAAATCAATGAATCTACTATAGGGGAGAGGATACACTATGGGTGAAAATTTCAGAAATAGTCAAACACTGGTTCTGTATCTTTTACCGCTACTGCTCTATTGATGTATTTGCATTCTTCTCTAATCCTTCCCCGCCCCCCCCTTTTTTATTGTCAAGGTATTATAAATTAGAAAACTTACAAAAGAGAGTATGTAATCTTCCCTGAAATGGCCTGCAGATATGTCACTGTACTAAATGTGTTTCAGATTTAATGAAGCTTTAATGTCCTTTTTAATTTTGCCTGTTTCTGTATCACCAGGGGTCGAGCAAGGCAATCAGCACTCAAGAGGGTGGTTTGGTTTAAAACTAGGAAAAAACTCATTTGCTTATGAGTTGCACTGTATTTTCTTAATTAAATTTACTGAGTAAAATGGTTTAAGTTCAGCCAACCAATGACCTTTGTATGTAGATTTAGATTTATAAATAGGTTAACAGTTTAAGAAAAAAAAAAGAATCCCAACAAAGCAAACAGATTAAGGCTATGCCAATAGAAAATTTTGCTCCCTTTATCATCTTTACAAAAGAAGCATTTAAATATAGGCAGCTTAGGTCCAATAAAAAAGTACACTTAAAAATACAGGAGGCTCACAAGCCATAGCAATCTATCAAAAGACTCACTTCCCCTCCACTCCCAGGAGGGGGGCAGCTCACAACATAGAAGCTCCAGAAAAGCTTCATCCCCCTCCCCTCCTGGATACTATTTAGCATTTGTTGTTTGTTTTTAAAGTGCATTTTGATTCCAAATACTTAAGATTAAGTAAACTGCACAACACTATGCTCATTGTGGGCAAGTTTATTTTTTAAAAGGCAAAAAAGGATGCTCTAAAACCATCTACCAGTTGGGAATACATTTAAATAACACCAGGCTGCTAATATTTTATTGTAAAACTAGGAATGTTCTCTGAGTTTCTTCTCTTACAGATCTCATCACACTGGGGATTCATCCCATTCCTAAGAGTATCGGTTTGAGGCATTTTAATATGGTTGACTCTGAAAATCTGAAGCTCCAATATGTGTAGGATAATGATAATTGAGAGGAAAGTACAGGGCAGAAATTCTGTAAAATTGTAAGCTAAAAAGTTAGGAAAGAGAATCCTTATTTAGCCAAGCAACAGAAATAGTCTTCCTTGCTATTAAGAATTATCTACATTGCTAAGGTACAAACAACGAAAAGAAAATACATCCTGTCATTGGAAAATGTGTGGAAAGGAAGTTTGGGGCATATATTTAGGTGATGAAGTCTTAGTTTATCAACTACACTGTGCCAGTAGTTTTAAAATGTACAGTTATGCTGAAGAGCATGGGATTTTTTTTTACTCTTAATTTAGATACATTCTATGTTTCTCGGCATAACTGCAAATTGAAAATAAGCACTTACCATATAGCCAGTGATCTAGCTGAAGGAGGACTTTATAGTCTGAAATGTTCTAAAATTTGTTCTTAATTACCTCGTGCACATTTTACACAATTAAATTTCCATCTAAGGATTTTGCATTTAGATTGCGTGCTGCCGTTAAACCCTCATTTTATAGAAAAGCAGCAGCCAGTCTGAAACATTCAGACATGGGGAAACTTTCAAAAATCAGACTTAACTACTGGATTACATAAAATTCCCTAGGTGAGATTTCATTCCAAGACCAATTTACTCACTCCTAGATAGATCGTTTAAATCATCTGAAACTATGCTGGTGAAGGGCCTTAATAAATATTAAATA